TTCACTGCCCCTCCTCCCCTAGGAATTCCTCATGGGAGAGGAGAAAAAAGGGCCCCCTCTTTTATGTTAAATGCTTTATTTCCTCCTTGGCTTCAGCCTTCTCACCTGGCAAATGGGGCGTGGGGTGTGTGTGTGTGTGTGTGTGTGTGTGTTCTGGGCCTACCTGCAGGGCTGTTGTTAGGGGGGAAGCTGGAGCAGGGGTCTAAGGAGCAGAGGGGCTGCTGCTCCTCCCTTGTCCACCAGAGTGGGAGCCCTCCCTTCCTTCTCCAGCAGCCTCCTTTGTCTTCCCACCTGGCTGAGTCCTCTCTGGAGGATTAAACAGTCCCAGGGGAGGGGAGGGGAGGGGAGGGGGGGCAAGGTTTAACCCCAGGGCAACAGAGTCGGGCAGATGGGAACCCTCTGAACTGGAGGGTTTGCTCAGCTTCCCTCCACTCTAGGGGGCCCTGAGGTTCTTTGGGGTGCAGCTGGGGGAGGGTGGGGGCATGGAGGGAGCTCTGCCAGGCGGGGGGGGGGGCTACAGCTGCCCTGGCCACCAAGGGGCTTGCAAGATAATTGGATTCCTTGGGCCTCTGATTTATAAAAGGAGACGAAGCGGGAGGGAGGCAGAAAAATTCTCTCCCCGGCAAAAGAAAGAAAGGAGACAAGAATTGCACATTCCAGCACAGCGGAGAGGCCCTTAACCCCTCCGCGCCCGGCTTGAGGTCAGGCAGCTGGGCTTCCCGCGCATGGGGCAGAACAAAGAAGCTCCAGGCTTGTAGTTGCAACCCTGCTGAGGTTTGGGGGGAGGGCTGGGAGCACCCCGCTTTTCTGAGGTTCCTCCAGGGCTGCCACAGCACCGTTTGCACTATTTCTGGGCTCAAGGGTTCCTGTGAAGGGCTTTTAAAAATGGGGAGAGGTGGGTGTGGGGCCCAGTTAACCCAGAGATCTCTTCGGGGGGGGGGGCTTTGGGGGAGCAGACTCAGCCAGCTGAGCCCATAAAGTTGGTAGCATTATTCCAGAAAGGGGGAGCTGGGCAGGCGCAGGCTTTGGGAACTGCCGAAAGAGGCCAAAATTTGTTTTTTCGGGTGTTTCTCAACGTTGCACACAAACCTGTATCTTGTCACTTTGGAATGCTGATAAACAGCTGAGCTTTGTCTTGGTTTCTTCTCGTTGACCTGGATCAAACTGCCCCCCTACGTCTGCCTTGCCCCACTTGCCCTGTTTGCGGGGAAAGTTGGTATCTTATCTGGAAGCCTCGGGTGGGGTAGTTTCTCAACCACCAGCTCTTCTGCACTGAGCACCCAGAAAAATAAATCTTGCACTTGGCCCAGATTTTATGGAAACATTCAAAGGTATTTTGGCTGCAGCTTCTCACCTGCCAAATTAAATGCAGGGGGGCAAGGGGGGCTGGAGGTTGGCAGGTGCTTCTCTTGAGGTGCCCTGGAAGCAGGAGACCATTTCCAGCAGACATTTCTCGGGGCCTGGCCTGGCTCGGAGGCTTTCTTGGGACAACCAGGGCAGCTGAGCATGGTTAAGCAGAGGTGGGGAGTGGGTTGGAATGGTGCCCCCTCTGTGGGCTCCCCGCCTCTGGCAAGGGCTTGGACCCACTCCCCATTTGGGAGGCAGGCTGTGCCCACGGAAAAGGGGCAGGGAAAAACTGCCCTCTGCCCAGCAACGGGCCTCCGAAGTGGCTTCCTTGGATCCCAGGGCAGGCCTTTGCCATTCCTCTGATCTTGGGCCTTTTGGGGTGCTGTAGCTGCTGCTTTGCTGCTCAGTCTCTCTGATGCTGGCTTGATGCTGGCTTGATTCAGCTGCTGCCCAAGTTTATCTGCTCAGCTGCACCAGCCTTTCCCCTCCTCTGTGTCTCCCTCTGTTTTCACCAGACAAATGGAGCTGTTTGCTGCAAGGCAGTAATGCTATTCATTAGTTTTAGGGGCTCTTCCCTATCCATTCCCCCTCCCCAGCTCTCCTCCGGGCGCACTTCTATTCCTGTCTTTGTGTGCTGGAAACAGTATCGTTTGCTCAGAGTTGGAGAGGACCTTCCTCTATTGCTTTCTGAAGCCTGAGGTCGGAGGGAGCTTTTTAATAATCCTCATAATAATTCTGATAATGATAATGTTATTTATTAGGTGGAAAATGTTTAGGAAACTTTGAGGAGGGAAAATAAGAGTCAATTTCCTTGTGTCAACCCAGGCCTGTATTTATAGCTCCTCTCGACATCATTTTAATTGAAAATTTTCCTTATGTTTTCTCTGGACTAATTACGGTTCCCTCCTGCACATCCAGCAGGGCCAGAAATGTCCTCTCCCCCTTTCAGTTCTCCATCCTCCCCCTCGATGGTGAGATGCTTCTGCAGAGGACTTGGGAGGTGGCTTCCTTCCCTTTTAATTGATTGGGGCCAGGAGGCTGGCAGGAGTTTGATGAATGCCCGTTCATTAGCTGTCTCCCCCAATTACTCCCTGCGCCTGGCAGGTCCCTGGGCTCTCCTTGGGCCTGGGGCAGTTGTGTGGAAGAGGACCCAGGCCCAGCTGCACTCGGGGATTGGGAGGGGGGGGTGAGGGGTTGCCCACTTCCTGCCAGAGGGAGGGGGAGGGAGCGGGAGCTGGGAAAGCAGTGAGGGTTTCCCCCTCCCAACCTCTTTACCACCCCCCCCCAAAAAAGCCAAGGAGAGCGTCTGCCAATCAGAGGCAGCAACCACAGCTGCAAGCACCTCCATTCACACGGCGGCGTACTTGATTCTACTAGCATAGGGGTGGGTGGGGGCAGCTTGGGGACTGGTGGGAGCCGGTCATTGCCTGACAGGTTTTCTCTTCCGGGACCTTTGGGCTTCCCGGGTGGCAGGTGCTTGGCGGGGGCTGTAATGAGCCAGGCTGCCCCTCACCCCCAAGGCGCATCTTCCCCACTCCGAGGCAGGATGAGGAAGTGGGCTGGGGGGGGGGGGTGTTTCTCCTCCTGCTTCTGGGCCTTGCTGGCTCCCCGTCTTTTCTTCCTTTTTGGCCAAGAGGTTGGACGTTGATTGAGTCTGACGTCCAGCAAAGGTGTTTTCCGCTCATGTAGATGTGAAAAGCCCCGTCTTGTGGCAGCAGAATAATCAAGGTGGAATATTTGATCGGGCCAGGAAATGAGGTGCTAAATTTGTTGTGAGATCGGTGTCAAAAGCAATCGAGGCTTTTGCTCCTCCTGCAGGAAAGATGGTTAAATCAGAACTGGCGAGCGGGGAGGGCACTGGGCAGAGAGAGCAGCTGCAGACCCTTTTTTTAGTTTTGTTTTTTTTTAGTTTTTAGTTTAATGTCTGGAACAGTCATTGTGGTTTGTAAACTGTGATTTAGGGCTCTCTGTTCCATATGAACGCTGCCAGCTTTTATTCGTGTGCCACAGACTGGGATGTGCCAACCAGGTCAGCATTTGGGAAGGTAAAGACCGGCAGGTGTCCGACGGCTCCTTGCTTATCTTTCCTGACTTGGAGGCTTGTGGGGCTCCCCAAACAGGCAGCCTCCCTTGAGCCTTGGGGCTAAAAGAAAGCAAGCGGGGGGGGGGGGGGGGCGTAAGATTTGCGTGTCCCTTCGGGGCAGCTGCCCTTCTGGCAAGACCCAAAGAGAGGGGCACCTGTGTGGGCATCACTTTCCTATTGCTCACGAGGGCATGTGAAGCCCGTGGAGAAAAGGGGCTCTTGGCCCTGCAAATATTTTCTCTCCATACACAAATTATTTCTGGTGACATGTGTGCTGGCGTTTTTTTCCTTCCTGGCTCAACAATCAATAGGACTGCAGAGCTTTCTCTTATCTGGAGAGAAGTGACAGCAGCCTTAAATGAAATCTCTCTGCAGTGCTTGCTTATCACGGCTATCGCCTCCTCCCAGCCGCTCTGTGACAGGCACCAGGGAGCCTCTCTGCTTCGCTGGGTCTGTGCACCTGCGCTCACACCGGGCGGTTGTGTCGAGGGAAGCACAACAGTCTTGCCCGGATCCAGAAAGTAACACCGACCTGCAGTGTTCAAGCGGGCACATCGCAGCAGCCCTGCAAGGAGACGTGGCCATTCCTGTGGCGTGTTTTTTGCCATTCATGAAAGCGTCATTCAGTTTTCCGAGTGGTTTTTGTTGCTGTTTTCAAATGTTGTACTTAAATGTTGTAATGAACAAGCAGGAGAACAAACAAGCGGAGTGAGGCAGGGAAGGGCCGGTGCCAGTTGAGGGTCCAGCCTTTGCCAAGCTCTGTCCAGTCAGTTTGGCTTCCCTCCTGAGGATGGGAAAGGTGATGCCCAAGGGAGCCTCTGCCAGGGGGTTGCCTGGGGGCGGGGCTTCCAGGCTGCTCTGCCTGCACCCCTTTGGGTGCCCAGGGCAAAGGACGCCTTGCGTGTTGGCGTAATTACGCAGGCTGCACTCAAACTCTTTAGTGTTTTTGGTGACGCTGCTGAGTTGATTTAAAGCTGGGCCCAGAATTGGGGGGGGGGGGGGTTCAGCGTGTTTTAGGTGCCAGAAAGTGCCCCCTGTGCCATGAGCATCACCCCCCCCCCACCCCCCATTCACTCTGCCATTTTTCTCCCAATTCTCTGGGGCTGCAAGAGAAGCCTTTGGCTGGTTAATCCATTGACTGGACACTCCCCCCTCCTTGAAACAAAAAAGCAAAAATCAATCCAATGTGGAAGGAAACACCAATTAATTAGGTGACCCATTTTTAACGTTACTGATTATTCCAACCAATCCTTCAGACAAGAAAAGGCTCCCCCCAGATGGCAGGGACAGACGGCAAAGGGGCAGTCCTAGGGAGGGGACAGCTTGGGGGGAGAGGAGAGCAATTCTGCTTTGGGGGGCCCTTCTGGATCCCCCGGCTTCACAGCTTCCGTTGGTGCCATGAAGCCCCGAGGGACGGAAACGCCTCTTCTGGGCGGACTCCTTCACAGCAGCCGTCCTAATCCACAGGGAGTCTCCTGGTCTGTTGCCATCCTCCACCTCTCTAAGGTGGACTGCTACTGTTCATGGCGGTTCTACAGATTGTTGCATTAAACCAGGACAAAAGGACTCCGCTCACCCGTTCTCCCCCTCCCCTCAGTCCTCCAGACCCGCTTCATCGAGGAACCGGAGGACCAGACGGTGGTTGCTGGGCAGAAGGTAGTGCTGTCCTGCGTGGTGCTGAACTACTCTGGGATCGTGCAGTGGACCAAAGATGGCCTGGCTCTGGGGATGGGACAAGGCCTCAGAGGTGAACAGGGAGGGGGCTTCTTCCTGGGCTTCTCCTATGGAAATTGTCCACCTCCTCCGCCCCCCCCCCTGCCCCCCCCCCTACCCCCACGCCCGGCTGCCTTCAAGGGGCGGGACAGGGCTGCGGGGCAAGCCCCCCCCCCCAGCCCCCCCCCCCCAGCATCAGCCAGCCTCCTTCCAAGTGGCTTGGCTCCATGTGGCCCAACAGCACCAGCGCTCCAGCACACAGAGCGGCCCCCTCCCAATTCACCTGCCACCTCTCATTAATTCATGTGGCCGTTCCCCGTGATTTCTTATTTTACCCCCAAGGTGACCCAACTCCATGCAGGAGAAAAAGCTGCGGGGCAGGGGGGCTGCTGCGCTCCTTGCCCTGTGTTTCTTGGGGTGGGGCAGTGTGCTGGGTGGGGTTGGTGGCCCTCTCATCTCTTGGCCACTGGGAATGGCGCCCCCCCCCCCACTTGCTTGGGGAGGTCAAGGCTCTCCTTGCAGACCCCCTAAGGACAACGCTTGCCTTCCACCACTGACTGATGAGGCCGGGGCTGCTTCCAGCCCAACTCCTGGGGAGGGGGCAGGTGGGGGGGGGCATCCCCTAGATCTGCAGTGGAGACAGGGCTGCTCTGTAGACCCTCTCAGAGTTGAAGAGCGTCACTGGAGGCAAACGGCAGAGACTGTAAGAGGGCAGCCAGAGGCCAAGCAGGAGGGAGGGCGATGCCAGCTGGGCACCAGGCCCTGCTCTCGGCTCGGCTCCCGCTCACCCACCTCTCTCTTCTCAGCCTGGCCACGCTACCGGATCACTGGGGTGACAGATTCCGGCCAGTTCAATCTGGAGATCACCGACGCAGAGCTCTCTGACGATGCCTTATATGAATGCCAGGCCACAGAGGCTGCCCTGCGATCGCGGCGTGCCAAGCTGAACGTCCTCAGTGAGTGTTTGGGGGGGGGGTCCCTCTTAGGAAAAACATGGCCGGAGCCCCAGCAACTTGCCCCCCCTCCCTTCCTGCTGCCTCCCTGTCCCACCTTCTCAAGTTGCCTGCCTCCCACCGATCCCCTGTCGATAGCTGCTCCTGGCCAGGACCTCCCGGGGGCTCTGGGTGCCGAATGTCTCCTTTTCCAGGCACTTCAGTGCTTTCAAAGCAGTGTGAGGAATGGGGGCGCCTGTTATCTCCCTGCTTTCCCCGCTGGGGACTGGAGGGTCTGCCGAACTGCTGGGCCCCCAAACCAGCCGGGCTCCTGTTCAGGTTCCGGCTGTGAACACGTAGCTTGACCTGTGGCTCTGACCTGCTATGTCTGCTTCCCTGTCAGTTCCCCCTGAAGACCCGATGATTGACGGGGCCCCCGAGATTTTGCTCCGTGCTGGCACACCACACAACCTCACCTGCCGAGCACAAAACGCCAAGCCTGCGGCCACAATCATCTGGTTCCGCGATGGGTTGCCACAGTCCGAGGCTGCTACTGCCACGGTATGCCAGGTGACCTTGGGGAGGGGCTGCTTGGGGCCTGCAGGCACCACCTTGGGGAGGGGCTGCTTGGGGCCTGCAGGCACCGTGAAGAATCCCAGTCCGCTGAACCCACGGCCCCCCAGGCGTATTGGACCGCAACTCCCCTAACTCCCAGCAAGCATCTCTCGAGCGTTTGGAGGCGTTGCCGATTTCAGCCTCTGTGCCCGGAGCACCGTGTGCGAAGGGTGAATCTTGCTTGGCTGCAAATGGCTTTCTCTCCGCCTCCTCCTTCCTCCTGGGAGCGCTTCCTTCCCCCCTCCCCAATTCTTAATTTCATTTCTCTCCACCAAAATCCAGAATAACCTTCCCACTGGCAGCGCGGTTGGCCTCCTGGCTCTGGCGAGGCCATTTTTCACTCATTAATCCCCCAGCAGTTTATGGTGCGTTGACATTAATTTGGGCAACCTCATTGGGCATTTAATAAGCATGGCTGAAACGTTTTGGTTCCAGGCTAATTTGGAAGTGATGATTGGTGCAATTCCCCCCAGATTTGAGGCGGGGCATGGGAAGGGCTGCGGCCACCGGAAGGCAGGTTTCTCTGCTGGGAATCTTTCTAATCCAAGGATGTGTTGCTGCTTCAGTTCTGACACCCTGTGCAGAAGCCTCCCCTGGGGACCCCTGGGAAGGTTCTGGGGTCCTTTATGGGGGGGGGGGGTGTTATTCACCACAATGCAATGCCCAGCCACCACCCTGAGTGCAGGGAAGGAAGCTGCTTTCCTGACTGCTCTCAGTTCTGACGGCTCCCCTTGGCCGCCTGCTCTTGTTGCCTCCCCAGGAAGTCTTAATGGATGGAAAGAGAAAGACCACCATCAGTCAGCTGCTCATCACGCCCACCGACCTGGACATCGGGCGAGTCTATGTGTGCCGTTGCAGCAACGAGGCCATCCCTGCAGGCAAGGAGGCCTCCATCAAGCTCAACGTTCACCGTAAGGAGGGCCTCTTTGGGGCATAAGGACCCTGAGCTTTTGGCCCTTCCTGGAGGAAGGGGAGGAGCACGGCTGATTTGGGGCTTAGGGTTTGATAAAAGTGGGAAGAGGTTCATATTTTGGTTTCTGAAGTCACCCTGGCTGGGATGATGACGAGCTGACAGCCCAGTTGTAGACCCCTTGGCAAAGCTCGGCCGAAGAGGATGGAGGGTGCAGGGGAGGAGCTTGATGGGGGTCAAGAAATCTGGGGATGCTGCGCCCAAACAGTTGGCGATCAGGTCAAAGGAAAGAGGCAGCCATCGGTTGCATGGCTGTTAACCGTTCCTTCTGCATGGCAGACCCTCCAACGGTGACGCTGTCTATTCAGCCCCAGACGGTGCAGGAAGGAGAAAGAGTCACCTTCACCTGCTTGGCCAACGCCAATCCAGAGATCAAGGGCTACAGGTGAGCCAGGTGCTGGCCGGGTGGGAATGATAGACCTCCAGACCCTTGCCTGCTCTTGCAGGGAGGCTCCTCGAAGTGTCCCCGAATGCTTGGCCTAGTGGATACGTTTCCTCCAACCCTGCCAGGTGGGCGAAAGGCGGAACGATTATTGAGGATGCCAAGGAGAGCAAATATGAGACGCAGGTGGATTACACCTTCTTCACGGAGCCGGTCTCTTGTGAAGTGCGCAATGATGTGGGCAGCACCAACGTCAGCATCCTGGTGGACGTCCATTGTGAGTAGGGGGCACGGCTGCCAAGGCTGAGACGAGAGAGGGCACCCTTTCTGGGGAAGCCACGCCTCCTCCCAGCAGCCCCTCCCACTTTCAGCCACCTGGGCCCCTGGTCTCCCCTAGGGCCTTGGAAGGCAAGGGGGTCGCTCCCATGGTATCTCTTAACTTCCTCTCCTCTGCCAGTCGCTCCTCGGATTGTGATGGACCCAAAGCCCCTGATCACCGATATTGGCTCGGACGTCACCTTGACCTGTGTGTGGACTGGGAATCCCCCGCTGACCCTCACCTGGGCCAAGAAGGAATCCAACATGGTGCGTCCCCTCCCAGAGGAGCAGATTTGGGGCTGGGGGCTCAAGCAACCTTTTCTTAGGAGCAGCTCCAATTTGGGGTGGGGGTTGCACCCATGTCTTGATTGGGTTCTCTCAGGAGGGAGGGATGGACCCGCCCGCACTCTCCCCCCACCAAAGGCGCCTTGCATCTCTTTGCGCCCCCAGATACTTGGAAACAGCAACCAGCTGCACCTCAAGTCTGTCACACAGTCAGACGCGGGGCTGTACGTCTGCAAGGCCATCGTGCCACGGATCGGGGTGGGCGAGCGTGAAGTGGCCCTCTTGGTCAATGGTGAGTGAAAGCAGGGGCGCCCCTCACCCAGGCGGGGCACGGCTGCTGGGGCAGCTGCTTTGCCTGGGCCTTCACGGGGAAGAGGGGAGGCTGCTCACCCCCTCAGCTGGCCCTTCTGGGTCTTGGTCCGCCTCTCGGCCTCCTGACCCCTTTTCTGTCCCTCCCCCTTTCTGCTGTTCCAGGTCCGCCGATCATCTCCAGCGATTCCATCCAGTACGCTGTGCGGGGGGACCGAGGAAAAGTCGAGTGCTTCATTGGGAGCACGCCCCTCCCCGACCGAATCGTGAGTCCTGGGGCAGCAGGCGCTGTTGAGGGGTCTGGAAGGAGGCCCGTCTGGCTGGAGGGGGGAGGTCAAGACCGTCTCCTCTTCTCCCTGGAAGGCCTGGGGCTGGAAGGAGAAAACCTTGGAGACGGGCACCTTGGAGCGCTATACCGTCGAGCGGAGCAACACGGAGGACGGGGTGCTCTCCACACTGACCATCAACAACGTGATGGAGGTGGATTTCCAGACACGCTACAACTGCACCGCCTGGAATGCCTTCGGTCCGCGGACGGCCATCATTCAGTTGGAGGAGAAAGGTGGGCCACCAGACGGGGGCAGCTGCAAGCGCCAGGGAAGGCCTCTCACCAGCTTTCACCTGCAGCTGCTGCCCTCGTGCCCCAGGGAAGGCCAGGAGTGTGGGGGGGGGAGTGGGGCTGTGCAAATTCAGCGGTCCTGTGCCCATGCCAGCCCCAGATAACATCCTACCCTTGGATGGTGCTGCTGGGCTTGAAGGCTGCCGTCAATTCTGACTTAGCCCGGTGGTTCCTCTCGGACTTCTCTCTAACTGGGCTGGGGCTGCCCCTCTTTGCTACCTCTGCCCCCCTCCCTGTAAGGAGATGGTACGGCTTTGACTCAGACATAGAGGATCGATCCTTGCAGAGAGCCTTGTCTTCCCGTTGCTTTCCCTTTCGCAGAGGTCCTGCCAGTGGGCATCATTGCTGGTGCCACCATTGCAGCTGGCATTTTACTCATCTTCTGCTTCATCGCGCTGGGATGTTTCCTCTACCGACGTCGCAAAGGGAGTGAGTGTCTGATGTGTGTGGGATAATTGGGGCATGATCTCCTTTACAGAGGGCCAAGTTGGGGGACGGGTTGACCCAGGACAGTATTTATTGAGCAGCATACTGCTCCTAGCTGGGGAAGCTCTATTTCCTCATTTGGAGGAAACTCGGCTTCTATGCCCCTTTGTTTCTCTAACTGCCTTTCCGAGCCAAGCTCAGGGAGGACCGTCTGCTTCCTGGACTCTGAGGTGGCTCTTTCCTGGGCAGAGGAGACCTTGGGTTTTTTATTCCGCTGAGGAAATCGTTCGGGTTCCCTTCCGGTTCCTCAGCGCAAGAACCATCCCTCGAGGGATGCTTAGCGCTGGTGGCTCAGCCCGAGAAATCCCTGGGGTTCCCCTTCTGCCAGGAATCAAAAATGGCATGAATTTTACCTCCTGCCCAGGCCGGAAAGACGTGACCCTGCGAAAGCTGGACATCAAAGTGGAGACGGTGAACCGGGAGCCCCTGACGCTGCACACGGACCGCGAGGAGGACACGGCCAGTGTCTCCACCGCTACACGGGTCATGAAAGCCATTTACTCGGTGAGGGGCTTCCCCACCCGGCTCCCTCGCCCCAAAAGCCTAAGGGGGGACCTACTCCCTGCCCTTCCTTCTTTAAGCCAATTGCCGGCTGGGTCAGAAGGCCCTCAGGCCCTGCTCTTTTCTTCGCCTGCTTGAGATCGTGGCTTAGACCGAGGGGATGGCGGGGGGGGGGGGCGGTGTTTGTGGCTGGGAATGTCTTGAGGGGTGTGGGTCAGGGCTGGGAAAAGCATCTGCCAGAGAGAGAGAGAGAGATCTATGGAGCAAAGCGCCTCGCCTAAGATGAACTCCCTGGGGAACCTGCGGGATGCCCGCAAGAGAGGAATGGGCACGGAGTGGGGATGTTGTGGAGCACGACAGTCAGATATTGCCTGGCTGAAATTTGGGGTCTTTCTCTGCCCCCCATCTGCCCCCTGCAGTCCTTCAAGGATGACGTGGACCTGAAGCAGGATTTGCGTTGTGACACAGTGGACACGCGGGAAGAATACGAGCTAAAGGTGAGGAGGAGGAGGAGGAGGAGGAGGAGGCTGCTGGCCCTGTCCGGAGAGCTCTGGGCAGCTCCCACCCTTCCCTGCCTGGCTGGGGCCTGCCCGCCTTGCACGGAGGGTGCTTGACGGCCCCCTCTACTGTGGAGCAGCTCAGGAGTGGGGGGGGGGGCTTGCAGGCCATTGCCTCTGATGGAACCTGGAAGAGTTGGGCCCTTTTCTGTGGGCCCGCAGGACCCTCGTGGCTATGTAGCAGAGGAACCTCTGAAGGGTTCGCCTCAAACCCCTCCCCACCTCCAGGCACTGGCACCCACAGAAGCATCCAACCCTTGGGCGGGGGGCTCCCACTGCCAGGCAGAGCCTGGGTTCTGGAAGGGATTTTCCCCTCCACTTTTCACACTTTGTGAAGCTGCCACTGAGCTGCTGCAGCACTTCTCCTCCTTGTTGGTCCTCCAGGATCCCACCAATGGCTACTACAACGTTCGTGCCCATGAGGACAGGCCATCTTCCCGCACGGTGCTCTACACGGACTATCGCACCCCTGGCCCGTCTCGCTACGATGGGCGGCCGTCTTCACGCCTCTCCCATTCCAGCGGCTACGCTCAGCTCAGCAGCTATGCCCGTGGCCCTGCCTCTGACTACAGCGGAGACCCAGTCCCGGGACCCACATCGGGCCCGGCCACTGCCGACACGGCCAGCCAACTCTCCTATGAAAACTATGGGGGTCATTCAGGCTTCCCCCCAAGTGCCGGCTATGCCACCTACCGCCTGGGTTACAGCCAGCCTCCCCCGCCCACCCTGGACCGGGCGACCTACGACACGTACGACCCCCTGGGAAAGTACACCACAGCAACCCGCTTTTCCTACACCTCCTCGGACTATGGGCAGCGTTTCCAGCAGCGCATGCAGACTCACGTCTGAAGTGGGCGTTGCATCTTAGTGGGGTGCAGGTACCTCATGACTGCCCCCTGATATTCAGGGGGCTGTTTCCCCCTGCCCTCCCGGCCTCTTTCCAGGCTGGACTTGTGGACAATGCCAAGTGTGGCACCTGCTGCCCGGCTGAGGATAACGCGGTGGCCGCCAGTCCAGCTGCTCTTCTACGGTTTCCTCCCTGTGGCTTTAACAGACTCTGACGGTTCTTTGGTGAGGGTCCAGACTCTCCAGGCGCCCCTTCCTCAAGGGCTCCCCCTTTCTTCCTTGTAAAAGACAGACCAGTGGGGAGGGCGATGGAGCAGCCACAGAGCAGTCATTCTCTCCATCCTGCCTCTGTTGAAACTCAATCTCCATCTTACCCGCAGAAGGGGCACGTCCGTTGGCAGCCCCAGGCAAAAGCTGCGGGCAGCCTCCCACTGGGGGCACCGAGGCCCAATTCGGTACAGTAAGGCCTAATGGTTGGAGCTAGCCATCAAGCGGGGGCCATTGGTCAAGTTTTAGCCCTGGCTTTTTAGACCAGCCAGGATCAGGTGGCCTTGGGTGCAACAGGTGCCTCCTTAAACCTCCCTCTTAAGAGAAGTGGTTTGCGCTTGGGGCAATGCTGGTTGGGAATGGTCAAGCTAAAGTCCGCACCCCTCGTGGACCCCCTTTGGCTGAAGGCTGACGGAGCAAAAGTCCTGTCCGCCTCGGCCATAGCGCTGCGCGGTGCAAATTGTGGTACGAAACAGAGTCCTTGGTGGCAATTCCTCCCCCACTTTCAGGAAGGTGTTCATAAAACCTGCACCCTGTGTGGGTCCAGTTATTGGAGGGCAATATGGGGTTGCTCTCAGGTGCCCCCCACCCAACCACAGGAGGGTCTCATCCCCAAGTGAAACTGCTGCCAGCCAGGAGGGTCTCTGCAAGACATGGCTCTGTGAGTGCCTCCCCTCCAAAGCTTTCTGCCATGGTAGCCAGCCTGGAGGAAGCCTCTTTTGCACACACCCCCCACCCTCTTGCTTGAGCCCCGTCCCCTGGCGCTGTCCAGACTCTCCTCTGGGCCAGCCTGGTTGCGGTCAGAGGCAGAGGAGACCGCTGCTGGAGCCTGACCTTTGGGAGGTCAGGGCTGGACACACCCTCCGGTCTCCCCCATGGCCACATTCTGAGGGGTAAGACCTTACGGGCCTGTCCCATCCCAAGCATAAGGGCTTAGGGCTTCTTTCTCTCTCCGGCCTGGACCCACAGCTGTTGCCAGGGGTTGGTGAAATCATCCTGTGGGTCTGTGCAGCCTCCCCTCCCGCCCCCCCCCATTGTCCTACCCTCCTTGCTAGGGAGTGACTGCAAGCTCTTCAGCCTCCTGTGCCTTAAAACTCTTGCTCTGGTGCACCCACTAAAAAGGCAGAGCAAGTTGGGGGGGGGGCAGATTCACTGACAGGAGGTGCCCCAGGCTGCCAACT